TAACCACTTGCGCTAAGACTAAACTTCACGGTTGCGGTGCCGTGCGCTACAATATAACAAGCGGTAAAGTGTCTCATTTACGCCGCTCCGCATCTGCGAGTGCAATCCAGAGCTGTAACTCGAGAAATAAACAATTTCGTTGTTAGGCGACGTGTGCACCACGTTATTTTCATTTTTGCGATAAATGCTTATCGACGTGGTGTTCACGTCGCTCACGGTTTGAGACAAAAGCATCTCGACGTGCGTGGCACGTCTTTTTAGCGCAAGTCGTTCAAGAAATTTTAAACGATATTCATTTTATGAACTCTTGATAACGTGACCTTCGAACTTCGACACCGGTTTCGAGCTTCGGCGACAGATATATCAGACATGCACAGCTGTTTCCCTCTATGATGGAACGGAGCCACGTCTGTTGCAGAGAGGTTTTCCTTCTTTACAATACATATTCTTTGATTCTAACCTCCATGGTACCGTATACTAGGATTAAACCCATTTTGTTTTATACGAGAACAGGTACTTTCTTTAGTTCATGCACTGCACATGCGATTCTCGAGAATACTGGAAACCAAAAGTTGCGGGAAAGTTGCTTTGCCTTTCTAAAAGACAATCAAATTGGAGCTGCGAAAATTGGCTCTATGCCAGCTACCCGAATGACACTCACGTGATACATAATTTCTCCAAAAAAGTTATCTCTTCCGACGTCGGCGCAAAAATCGCTTTTTTTGGCGGCATCGTTGTATGAACTTCCCTGACTTTTCCAGATTTTGACAAAAATACTTACATTCCCTGACTTTTCCCTGAATATTTTGGTCAATTTTCGAATTCCCTGACTTAGCGTGGCAACCCTGTCTTATTAAATGCTCAAAATGTGTGGGCCCTCGATATAACAATATGCCTCTCTACAACAATATATTTATTTGGTCCCTAAAATATTGTTGTAAGGAGGTTTCACTGCATATGGTAAAGGCCGGTTACAGAGCTGGTGTGGCAGAATTTTTAGAATTTAGTGACACACCAAACAACAAAATCTAGAAATGGCAAAACTTTTAGAATTTAGTCAGGCATTGGAAGCAGAATTTAGAAAGGTACTATGCAGTCGAATTTAGGATCCACAGAGATTGCATCAAATGGGAAAATGTGTATGATGCATTAAAACATATTAGATGGATCTTTTAAATTGTAAGTTTTCAATTTCTTCATTAATAAAAAAATCCCTTTCTATAATGCCCGCCCAAGTGATGCGATTAGAAGCATTTTTGATATTTCATGCTTGTGTCTAGTGAAAAGTAGAGAAAATAAAGGGAAGATAAACATGTTAAGAAAAAGATTCTAGTATCAGGAGTAAAACACTCAAATATTATGCCTTCATTGTTCTTCCAGACGTTCTTCAAAAAGTAAGAAATTCATCGCAAACATTCTATAAAATACATCTATTATGCGTTGATACCATGGAGATATTTTTCACTTTGTCACATATTTCTCGAATCTTCTAGAATCGTGGGTCTATAAATCTTGCCTTCAAATCCTTCTAAATTTTCCAAGCTGCGATGTCAAAAATACTAAAGAAAAATTATCCCAACCAATTCTGTAACAGCAAAAAGCCAGAAATATTTTGGAAAAAAAAAAAAAGGGAGGGAAAAAATGTAAAATTACTTTTATAGATAAAACTGATGCATATTCTGAGAATTTTCAATATTCTGAGATAATTACATGGGAAAAATGCTTACTATGAAAAAATTAAAAAGAAGATATTTTTAATTAATTACATAGCTAATTTTGCTTTTGCTAAAAAGTTGTTTCGTATATTATGCTTTATAGCATTATACCTTGTTTATTTTTCAGATTCAAAATATTGTATAATAAGTTGCCAAAATGAAACTTTATAATATGACAGCGGAAAATAAAAATGTTTTATTTTATTGTTATTTTTTAAATATAATTCTAATATTTCCATTATTCCATTATTTTAATGAAATTTAACAAAGTTATGATGTTTTTAAAAAAATCATCAAAAAATTCTGATTTCGAAATTAAAAATTTTCTATAGAAACTGGTCTTAAAATCACCAAAATGTTGACAAGTCGCAAAATTTAGAACCGTTTAATAAAAGAATTCACATTCCCAAAAGCGAGAATTGTTTAAGAGCTCTTTATTATAAAAAATGAATTTCAAAATGCTTATTTTTCACTTCTTGCTTAGAAACTCGAGTATCCCGTCATTTATATAAAAACAGAAACAAATTATAACCCTTGAACCCATTCAAGATAACCATATACATCAGTGAATCTCCAAAAATATTCCTCCAAAATGCTAATTCGCACTCAAATGGCAGTAGTAAAAACAGACAGAAATTTGAGATGATTAAAATTAAGGAGCTTCTACTGATTTTTGGCCAAAATTAAGGACTTTTAAGGACCAAAAATAGATTCCAAAACATTTAAGGACTTTTAAGGACTCTTAAGGACCGTACGAACCCTGTATATGTATGCATTTGCTTTCACATACATGAGTTCGGATGATTTTGAATTTCAGTTCCTAATAGGAATAAAATAGAAATCAATGTATTTAATAGTGGCAAATCTTGAAATATGAAAAACTGGGAATTTCTGAGAAGTTTTTCACACTGTACAGTGCACCATTTTAAAAGAACTCAAAACTGATTAATTTGCTTTACAGTATATGATACAGGTTATTCAACTACTGATGTTATGATTTTTACATAAAATATATTAGTTTTTATATTTTTGGCTAATTTCATTTTTTAATTTTCTTACACTTTCATATTGAGAAAATTTATACTTTTATACAGATTAACAAAGGAAAGTTTTCATTTATCAGAGTACTTTTCAACATGGTAAAGATAAAATAATTCCATATGAATGTTATTGTGTGGATAAACTTAGTAATGTACCATATACTTTGTAAGATACTTTTTGGTTTCCTTACTGTGTTCCTTCATGATGCAACTGGAAGCACATCCTGCTAGCAACTGGGAGGTCTGAAATTCAAACTCAGTGCACTGTACATTTTTTACATCTCCTGCCTCTAAAAAATGGAAAAAGCTGTACTACAGTGGCAAAAACTAAAATGTGGTTGACGACAATTCATTACCACTAGGACATAGCGCCTGGGTCTGAAGCCCCTGCACATTTGTTGTGTAATTAGAAACATGTCCGGTTAGCAAATAAAAAGTCTGGTGTTTGAATCCTGGTGAAGACACTACATGTTTTTCATGTTTACTGCTGCAAAATGACTCTAATGACTTTACATATTAATTAAAATAAAATTAAATACACATATTTACTGATTAAATATTCTGGTTGAATCTCCTTATAAAGTTCTATAAATGTCTACAATAGATTGAGAAAATTTAGATCAAAGAAAATAAGGATAAATTTTATTGCTTAAAAGCATTTTCTTTAGTAAGTGTTACAATTTTAAAAGCGAAACATTTGATTCTCTCTTGGGAGAGTTGGCAACTATAATAAAACTGAATTATTTACTATTAAACTGAATCTAAATCATTAACATTGTATAACATATTACATATGAATAAGATTTCTACCACACGTATTGCTAGATTTTGGAGGGAGGAGTTACTTTGGATTTTTTGCAGAATAATAAAACATTTATTATCAACACTAAGAGTCTCTCCCCCCCACAGTTTCTTCTCTCTTGGAGAAACTGGAAGGTCCTAACCGATTCGAAAATACATTATAAGAAAGGGGAAAAAAATATTATTCCATGATAACAAAGTACGTGTTTTTGCTATACTCTTTCTCATGGGCATACCTAGGATCCGAGTCAGGAGGTTGCAAACGACTTCATTCAGAAATTAAATATGTATTATACAGGAATATGGCTGCCAGCAGTCAAGAGGAAAGAAAGCTAAGTGCAAGTAATCTGGCCCCAGAATTCGAATTGCAGTGAGCTGGCTAGTTGCATGAGCATTTGATGGTTTTTCAAAAGTATCGTGCAAGATGAATACGAGACAGTTTCTCTCACAAATTCTCCAAAACACTTCTTTTTATTTTAAGCAGAGAGCTGTAATCAAATAGTATGTGTTTTGCTCTAATTGAATAAACAAAAAACTAAAGAAATGACTCGTACACGTGTAAACGAAATGCAGAAATTTAGGATAGATGAACAAAAAATTTCCCAACCTTTTTTCAATCTTTAACTTACACTACAATAACTGTAATTCCGTCTATGCTAAATTTTTCTAGAACTTCCAATCTTTTTCAATTTTTCTTTCTTGTACTAACTTTTAATGTACACTCAGCATACATATAGGCATTCAAATGATCATCAGTCAATGTTGAGCGCAACGAAATTTTTATGCTCTTCAAAGCATTTAATAGTACCCACAGTACATGGCTCAGGAAAGGAAATAAGGTTTGGTTGGTTTATTTGACTATCATAAAGTACATGAGTACTGTCTGCCTAAGAAGATGCCTTCATCGAGGGAAGGTAAACTGCCTCATATCCTCATTACACAAGCGAAAAACCACAAAACCATTCATGAAGCCAGCCTGTTTGCTGAGATTTGAAAGCAGGCTGAACCACCAGTATTCAACAACTTTACCGCTTGGACGCTAGCGGGGGGACCAAAAGAAATAAGAGAAGAATGTTCTGTCTGTGGAGAAAAATTGTTGTTGCTTCTTTTACGAAGTCTTTAACTGTTAGGTTTCTTATGTTCTTCGTCTTTACTTATTAATCCCCCAAAACTGTGTCAAAGTTCTATCTCACTTTCAAAATTTTCATAAGTTACAGGGAATGATGATTTACAGCAACACAGGACTTTTGTCTAATATTCAAAAGCCCTCTGAACCACTTCAATGCTACATTTCACTACAAAATTAACATATTTCAGTTTCCACATACACATTCCACTACAAAATTAACATATTTCAGTTTCCTCTATCTGTCTTTACATTTTTAATCCTTGTGTATACTGATCTCACTTACATTTTATTAATGGAAAGATGTAAAAGTTATACCTTGTTTCTGGAGATGAAAGCAATTCTTCAATTATCTTTATATTTTCCTCTGGTTCCTGATACGATAGGAAGCACATAAAAAAAAAAAAAAAAAAAAAAAAAAAATCATGATTTGTTAAAAAAAGTCAACAAAACAAAAAATACACACTTCCAGAAATACATATCAGCAAAATTAAAAGAATGCACACAAGAAGAACAAACAATATATATGTATACCTAAATGTTCCACACAAATTATAAAAATATATTATACGTAATAAACAGTTTTCAGGAAAACATAATTTACTCTGTTAATTATAAACTATTTTTTAAAGATGTTTTTAATTTTTCAAAGGAAACAGAAAAATTTTGACACTTAAAGCATAAAAAGCATTTTAGCAAAATATAATAATGTTGATTCAAATGTCTGAGATAATTCATAAAATATTAAAATTATAATGTTATATGATTTAACCATTACATAACTTTAGAATTTAGATCTTAACAGAAAGAATCAAAAGGAATATTAACAAAAAAGCATAATTTATACCTTCCTTCAATTGAAATACCCTTTTCTTATATTTTCTAAAAAATCATTTCAAACCTAAGGATCTGATATTACAGCAACTATCACCCAGAAAAGCAATACTTACACATGGCAAAATGCATAAAGGTAAAAAGTATCTTGGCATTAGTTGTATGTAAATGAAAAATCGCTAAATACAATGAAGGAGCTCAGATGGTATTAACAACATATCATTCAAACAAAACACGAGAAGTATTATTTAAATTAATTCAATTAATCGTAAAATGTGAACACTGCATTGTTTTATATAAAGCCTTGTTAATCTAAATTACTTGGCATGACTGTCAGCAGAATTTTATAGTTTTCAAAATGATCAATTTTGTTTTTCATATTTAAGCTGGCAGTTTTTCTTAATCTCTATTATAAAATAATTAAAAATCTGTATGTGTTTATATTTCTTCCACTGCAGAAAAAAAGTAGCACCTAGAACCACAAAATTTCAAACATACACAGTCCTCCACCTAAATATAAGCACTTTGAAGTCCGAATTTTGAATCTGCTTTTTAAATATTTCACATTTTATGTGAATTTAATAAACTCAGCATTTTAAAAGCAATGCGCTGCCACTTGGCAAAGCATTAGATCTATAAGACTTTTTCTTCCCTTAATAAATTATGAAAAGCTTAATCGCTATCTAAGCTATTGTAGCAAAGAAAATGTACTTTTCTGACACTAATTTATAAGTAAATTAATTATAAATACTAAAGAGCATTTGTTTCATCATATACAGAGTGTGTTCCCACATTTTTGCAACGATTTCGATTTTCTCCACAAATTTAAATATTAATTTTAAAATACAAACATGACTCGCATCAAATTGAAAAAAGGCTTAATTATCGTTTGCAGAATTAAAAAATATTTTTTTCTTTAAAATGTCGCTGAAAAATAAAAAATGAAGTGAAGGCTATATTTTTGCACTGTCCGAAGAGAAATACTCTTATTCAATTATTAAAAAAAGATGTGAAAAGCATAGTTTCAGTATTTTTACATGTAAAATAAGTGACATAATTAATATGAAAGGAAAGAAACCTCAAAGTTTACATCTGACTGGGAAAAAGGCAAAAAATGCATACCCAACATAGATATGTATAGCTCTTATTAAATCTAAAACTGCATCTCATGTTTAAAGGAAAACCCAGCCCCCCCCCAAAGAGCTATTGCAAAATCTTTAAATATATCTGTAGGAACTGTGAACAAAATTTTAAAATCTTATTTAAAGCTAAGCCAAACAAAAAACCACGTTCATCACCTAATGCCAAAACATGTTTCTCATCATAAGACTATGTGCAAATTGCTGAATGAAAATTATTTGGCAGGTGAAAAATTAGTTACAGTTGATAAGGCTTGGATATACTTATCTTATTGTAATAGGGAAATATCGATTTACTACCAAAAAAGAGGAGAAAGACTTAATATGTTGGTTCAGATAAAACAAGGGAAGTTTTTCTACAGGTTTTATGGTTATTACTGAAGTCTCTTGAAATGGAAGACTTAACGAAAGTAGGAAAAAATGCCAAAATTAATTCAAATTACTATCAGAAACATGTTATAACACCTATTTTTAAAGAAGAAAATTCCATCTTTTCATCCAAACAAGCTTTGCCATGTTCAGTCCCATTAAGATAAGGCTCCAAGCCATACTGCTAAATCTAATGCTCTATTTATTGACAAAATGAGAAATGAAATCAGAATTGAACCTATTCTCTTTAAATGCATCTGACCCAAGTCCCCATATGTGCCTCCTATGGATTACTGTGCATATGGACTTTTAAAACAAGCTCCTTATAAGCCACATTCTCAAAATATTGGATGGACTCTGGAAAACTGTGATGGAGGAATGGAATAAAATCAACCTTGATGCTTTAACCCTTTGCGGCATGGTGGGTCAATATATGTCCCACCTAATTAATATTTATTTTCTCAGTTAGCAGTTTCCGTTAGAAATTTTCTAATCTTTTAAAAATAATCATTTTAGTTATTATTTTTCTCAGTAGATGTCACTACTATACCAGGGCTTCAGTTTATAAGCAAAAAATATTCAAAATAGGATCACAAAAGTGATATCCATGTATCTCGCATTTTACAATATTTTAAACATTTTGGTATACAATTTAGGATATGCATGATTCTTTTTAATATTCAAAGGTATTTTATTTTCAAAAATCTTAATTGGATTCAATATTTTATAACATTAATTTTGCAGTTGAAATAAGTGGGTTAAAATTTGTCCCACCACACACTTGAATTTCCGCTCAATAGATGGCAGCACTCACGATTATTTTTTCTTTTTGCATCTACTTTTTTCATGATTGCGCGCGCGCTTTTACATCCGTTGTATGCTCTGATGTGCTAAAATGTCTAGAAAAAAATTAACAACACAGGAAGCTTTGGATCTTTTTGCTGAATTGCCATCCGATTGCGACTCAAATGCTTCAGATGTCAGTTCTGATTCAGATGAAATTGAAATCCAAGAGAGAATAAATGAGGTTGAAGTTATTGCTGAAGAAGAAAGGAAAGTAGTTATAATTTGTTTCGCTTTTTAAAGACACAGACCCATTTATGCGTGTGGCTGCCATCTATGCATGTGGCACTGTAAATATGAATCGGAAGTATCTACCCACAAATTTATGTCAAGAAAATATATAGACTTTTCAGTTAGAGATGATTCAATTTATTGCATAAAATGGAAGGATAAAAGATCCGTTTCTATCCTGTCTTGCTTGGAAAAGGCAACTCAAATGAAAGAAATTAATAGAAAAGAACGAGATGGAAAGACAAAAAAAGTACTGTGTCCAAACAGCATTATTTCATACAATAAGAACATGGGATATGTCGACTGATTGAGCAACTGAAAGGACTATATGAAATAGACCGCAAAAGCAAGAAATGGTGGCACATGATTTTTTTTTTTTTTTTTTTTACTTTTAGAGGAGAGTATAGTAAACGCATTTATTCTATTTAAGTTTGTTCGCGAACCCGATCATGATGTAAACACAATGAAAGATTTTCTTCTCTCAGTTATAGAAGGTCTAATGGCACTTGCAGGCAAGAAAGAGCAGAAAAGAAAACTGAAATCCCCAGTTCAAATAAAAACTAAAAACCCGTTCGTACAACCAGAAAAGAGACTAAAAAATATAAGTCACATGCCAAAGTGAACGAGCAGGAGAAAGATGTGCATATCGCAGCACATCGAAAGAAGAACGACGAACATTTTGGAAATGTGAAACATGTGAAGTGCCTCTATGTTTACAAAAGAATGAAACAACATGTTTTTCAAAGTTTCATGAAAAATGACTGTTTTTCAGTTTTAATCATATATAAATGTTTTTGAATCAAGTGCCAATTTCAATATTTTATTTAGTATCATTTGTACGTGTATCAAATTTTAATCTTAAAATAATATTCAAGAAAATATTTTCTTTTGTTCTTAAAATTTAAAAATATTAAATATATATATGCAAAATGTGCATATTCAAAATTTTACAAGTCATGCATATATGCAATAAGTACAAAATGCATTTTAGTGTGTTTATTATGAATATTTTAGAATGCACGCTTTATTTTGTTTATTCATTCCACATATGATTTTTTTTCCCTGCTATACACCAATATGCTATAAGACATGCGCTAGTTGCATGGTGGGACAAATGGTATCCCACCTTCCCCCGTAAAAAATAAAAGCGCAGAATTTTTTTCAAGCCTTAAAAGCACTTAAGTAAGTCCATCTGACTTATTCTAAGGCATTTTTTTAAAGATTAAAATATATTTTAAATATGCATGTCGCAAAGGGTTAAGAAAAGGACTTTTATCTTGGAAATTAAGATGTAATATATATCAGTTCAACAAAAGGGCTATCAGACTGAACATATTAGAAAATAAAATTCTAAGAGTTTTTTTAATACATAAATCTTTGCAAAATCGTTACAAAAATGTGTGAACACCCTCTTTATCTGGAAGTGACTTTTGCAAGAAAAATGGTTTCTTTCTGATTATCCACACCTTCACCTAAAAGTCACAAACAGTTGCCACCTCTGGACAGAAATGTTTCTTTAGATATCTTTTTGTTGTCAAAGTTATCAAAGTATTCAGTTCCACTTCTTCTAAGGTTCTTCATCTTTTTTTTTTTATTCTTTATAAAAATAAGACACTTAACTTTTTTTGAGAAATTCTTTTGTAATTTTTTATGTTGTTGCTTTTTCCATGTGTTTTTTATTAAAAAAAAACAGAGAACTGTACAAACTGGGCATTGCACACACACCAACCATGATCACATAGCTGAAACTTCAGCATAATAAAATTAAAAGATGGCAAACTCCATAGTTTGCATTATAAAAAAGTAAACGCATACCTGCCAACCTCTAAAGATAAAAATTCAGAAGATTTCTCCAAAATTCAGAAGAACACGAAGAATTAATATCATGCTTTGATATTAAAAAAATAACAATTTATACAAATAGAAAAAAGAAAATTGTACTTACATTAGTAAATCTC